TTTCTTTTCTTCTCCTTCAATTTTTCTTATTTTAATATGTGACTTCAGAGTTACATTATTATGGTAAAACCATCACTAATTTCATATTTTGTGTGAGTTTAGTAATAAAAATCTAAGGAGTTTTAAATAAGAATTATTTCTGAAAAATGTATATTATCTCCATATCACGATATCCAGAACAAGGAAGAAAGTACTATTTAGAAATAAAATGCATTTTTATTAGCAAGTAAAATTTTCAAATTTGTGTAATGTTTGTAATTTTCAAATGTTTTAAAGATAAGTAATACATTTAAAAGAGAAAATAAATGACAGAATTAGAAATAATAAAAATTTCTTGCTAAAATTTATTAAGTTAAAATCTTTAATTAATACAAATTTTTTTCCAAGCAAAGTGTAGCCAATAATTAATTCAGCTAATTGATTTTGATTAAAAGCAAGCTTAGCAATATTTTAAAAGCAGCTATATATTGTTCAAAAATTGTAACAGAAAAACTGATAAAATCCTCTTCATTCTATTTAAAAAGGAAAAACTGAACAGATTTTACTCCTTTTTAAAACATTTCTGCATTTATTACTATGTAATCACTAGTACTTTCTTATAAGATAATTCAACAATAAAAGTAAGTATGAATATTAAGTTGAGTTCATTATTATCAAAGAACATTAGTGTCTGTTGAAGGATTTAAATTCTTGAAGCAGATGCTAAGCAAGAATTATGAATTGAAAATTAACCTTTTATCTTTCCTTTTAAGTAGAAGGAAAATCATAAAAATATGACTTTCATTAATTAAAAAAATAAAGCTTAAAATAGAGGTAATTTTTTTTATTAAAAAAATAATACCTTTTTAGCATCAATTATTATATGTGTGTATACATTAAAGAAGCACAATCTTTATTTACAAATATATATAGCAAACCAAATAAAAAGGTAATTGTAAAAATGTAAGGTTCTAGATCCTAATTGAACATAACACTTTTACAATTACAGTTTTATTGCAGAAAAAAATAATAGAATAACTAGCTTTCCGAAACCGTATTTTTTTTCCAGGGCACATATTTTTTTCTAAATGATTAAAATTGTTTAGGGACCAAATCATTATTTTTGGGAGCCAGTTTTGGCCTGTAGGACATAGATAGAATTTTTCTACATTATATCGATTTAAACATTGAAATAACATATTATGTTAATAATCAGCATGCGTAGCAGGAATAGGGAACTTTCTGATATGTCCTACCTTGTAGCAAAAGAGAGGAATAAGGCTCAAAATTTTAAACATAATGCGGAAATTTTTTTCAAAACAATTTCAATTGTGAATTACAAATTTCCATGCAAGCAATTATGAAAGGAATAGAAATTGATCTAAAGGATGTAGCAGTTTCCATCCCAATGCTCTCACCAGTAGGTTCAAAAGAATCAGAGCAACACAGCTATCAACCCTCAACAGTACATTAACACTGCTCATTAATTAGAATTATTCACACGTTTCTTTATTATTTTTTTAACAAATGCATTCAAATTAAGGTGTTCTTTTACTTAATAATCTCATTGTAGTCATAGCTTGTTAAAGGGCTTCTATTCATTTCCTTACAACTTTTATTTATTTTTTGAGGGGGAGGGCGTATATTAGTGAAATTTTTAGTGATTTTAAATTTTGCTCCTTTTTTTAAATATCTTTTATTTACAAATGCATCTTTAAACACTTATTTTCTTATTATTTGCAAATTTCAATGTAAAAAAAATCTTTTAGGTTGTTGATCAATCAATCTTTTTTTAGTTCTTATAAATTTCTTTTAACAAAATTTATACACCGAGATTGTCTTACCCTTAATTACTTTTTAAAGGCTTAAAAAAATTTTCTGCTGTTTTGATAATGAGTGAGAATTACTTTGTGAGATATACATATAAAATAGTACTAGGGGGCAATTTAAATATTGAGGATCAAATTCAGTTTACATATTGTGAATTTTTATAAATTTTAAAGTTGCCAAATGCGTGGCCTTTCAAAACAAAAATTAGAGCTGTGATGAAGCACCCTGCCCTTTTTTTATTACTAGGGATGACTCAGGGGGTAGGAATTGCCTAATGCTTCAAAAAATTACTCATTTTAAGAGAAGATTTAATACAAAATTGTGGGTGCTTGTTAAATTATGCTATTTAATATATATATATATGTATACCAGGGGTCTGTTAAGAAGAACGGACCCTTCACAAAATAATTTAACTTAAAAAACGGACGCTTCACAGAATAATTTATCTTTTAATCGGACCCTTCACAAATTTATTTATCTTCATTATGGTCTTGTTAATCGAATAAACCCTTCCCAGGTGGGGGGAAAGAAAGATAGGTGTAAACGAACTAAGTTTTATCTTCCTTTATTCATTCGAAATGAATATTCTGCTTTCAGCAGTATAGGCTAAATACCAAATATTTGTATGTTGCATCTCTAATTTAGTACCAGCAATTGCTGATTATTTTTTAAAATTTAATTTTTTTTAATTATAATTTTACAGTATTGAGAAGAATGTGACTTAACGTTTATTTTATATTCACAAATTACGAGTAATTTTTTCACAATTTTACAAAAACGGACCTTTCACAAAATGCCTGGACAGACCCCTATATTTGTGTTAATATAATAAGATTTTTATATTTATGTGACTTGCAATTTATTACTTTATGCAATTTTTTTAAAAAAAAACTGAATGGAAATGAATGAACATTGTTTTTTATTTGTGCACTGTACGCCAACACCTTAACTACCTCTGATTCAGTGGGTAGATTTTAACAGGCGATCTTAGTGGTTTTGTGAGTCTAACCTTAAATATAGGTTTTGTGAGTCTAACCTTAAATATAGATATTTAAGGTTAGACTCACAAAACCACCAAGATCGCCTGTTAAAATCTACCCACTGAATCAGAGGTAGTTAAGGTGTTGGCGTACAGTGCACAAATAAAAAACAACATTCATTCATTTCCATTCAGTTTTTTAAAAAAATTGCATAAAGTAATAAACTGTAATTAAATTGTACAGATATTTAAAATAACAAAATCAGACACAAAAATGTGCTTTTCCTTTTGGCTGATTTGAATTCTTTGACTCTTATAATAAGGGGAAGGAAAATCTACAGTCTAGAAAATATAGTCCTATAATTTGGTCATCACAGTAATCAAAAATTTGGAACTTTCAATTTAATAAAGAGAATCAAAGAGTTTTTTCAGACAATTATAAAATTGTTTATCCAAAAATAGTTCCTTGTAAAAAAATTATTTTTTACACCTTTTTAATTCACTAATGGTTAAAAGAATATTGCACTGTACCTAAGGTATTTTTACAATAATTTAAACTATAAAATTTTAAAAATCCAAACTTTGAAAGAAATCAGTAGAATAGGTAGCTTTTAAGCTGTAGAAAATTACAAACATTACAATGTCGAAACTTAACTGTCTGAAAATGAAAAACACTACTACTTTAAACTTAAAAACTGTCTAAAAATTAAAAACATTACTACAAAAACTGTCTGAAAATTAAAAACACTACCACTCTAAACTTAAAAACACTACTATGTCGAAATATGCAAGAAGTGAAATTAACATTAGGAAGTCTAAACATTCGACAGCTCAAGGGCCTAAATTATTGCAGCATATTTTGAAAGCCAAAAATTACAATTTGCTGTAAAAAATTTATGTTTAAATAGAGAAAGCGTGGTTTTGTGACTGATATTTAACTTGTCAGCACAAATTGATTAGCTTTTATTAAAGGTTGGGCTCTCAAACCATCACTGTCCTTGAAAGTAGAAAATAATATGTTTCTTATATTTTTTAATGCACTAAAACATACAGCGAGGATAACAGATACACTAAAAATACCTTTCATCATGTATTTTAGAGGTTTGATCATACAAATATTATGGAGAACCAGGTGACGAGAGGGGTTTTAAGTTAATAAGATTAAAAGATATCCTTAATTTTAATCTACAAATAATCTTTTAATACATCTAGTAGCTTTAAACTTAAAAGTAAGAGATTGTTTTAAAAAAATATTAGTTTTTTTTTAACTTAATATTTATTGTAAAAATATTGTAAAAGATGTTTACTCAACTATCATTTATCACAACCCCTTCCTACAAAAACATAATATCCTTTAATTGAAATTTCGTTTATTGGAATTATTGCGGAAGTTCATAGACAGTTTAAAACACAGCTCTAAGCTATCAGAAATATTTTAAAGAAATTTTCTTAATCTAAGTAAATGTCAGCTATTCTTTAAATCTATAAATAGAGAATGAATATCATAATTTAAAGAAAATAAAAATTTTTAAATTATTTTCTCATAAATGAAAAGATAATTTACATGGAATTTTTCATCCTAAAGTAAAATTGTATTTTCAAAGGGGCAAATATGGCTTCAGAGTCAAATTCCATTCAGCAAATTACTTATAAGAATATATTCTTTATACTTAATAAATTGATGAAATGTAAACAAATAAAAAAAAAGTTATGAATGAAACTGAATTCTGTTTTAGTCTCGTCTTTGATCTATTTAATCACAAAGTAAACAAAATGCCAACGATCACAACTGTAGATAAAAATACAAAACTGATCATAAAGGAAAAAAAAAATTAAGATAACAGATAGATGATAGGGTTATGATGGGTATCAAAAACCTGTCATATCTGACACATAATGAACGAGCGTTGGTAAACATTATGTCGGTAAACCAAAAATATCAAATTGAAAACTTTATTAACACTTTATAATATTATTTATTATTATCAAGAAGAAACATAGTAAAATTATAGTTTGAAGAAATTTATTAGCGCCCAGTGCTTAATGTTTTGAAATATTTAGACCGCGCCCAAGGTCCAATCGATTGAGAATAACATCAAAATAAACAAGTTATGCATGTTTAAAGAGAAAAAAAACATAGAAAATGTAAATTAAAAACAAAAACAAAGTAACGTCTATTTAACTATTTACAGGATTAAATAAAATGACTCACCTCATTTACACAGTTCAGTGACAGAAAAATTAGGACTAATCCAATTGTTGGTATCATGTTTTCTTAATTTGTTGGTTGTTACACTTATAGATACATATATACAAGAGGAACTTTTTCACAATGGTAAAATCACAGAGATTTTCACTCGGTAAGATTAGTAATCAAACAAATATTTTATGAGAATGACGTCAACGCCTGTATATGGAAATACTGAATCCTAGGATCGTAGTTGAAGAGGCTATGCTGCTCTGAAAAGGGGAATAAATCCTAGGATGGGTGACAACAGGACTGTAGAATCATAATATCATTCACTAGGGGAAAAACAAAACAAAGAAATAAATATTCTTCTAAGAAATAGTAAAATTCACTTCAAAATCTACCTTCCCCCAAAGCACCATCACATATCTAGCTCTGCGCGAATAACAGCGAGAGCAGACATTCTCTCACTTGCAACATGACAGCATAAGGTCAGATGACGTAGATGGCGAGAATCCTCATGATTGGTTGAAAAATTGCATGATATTAATTATTCTTGCTTCTCTCACGGGAGGGCTTTTTTAAGGGAAGGAATGATAAAAAATATTATACAGATCTTGTTTTTTTCTTAGTCATAATATAGAAAAAAAAATAATTGAAAATTAATTGAATGTTAAAATTTTGATAGATAGTTTAAAAATATATTTTTTAGAATAATTTTTAACTATTAGAGATTTTCAAATCCTTCATAGAACTTTTTTTCAGCGCTTTTATTTCTTTTATGGGAAACCAGGAACCCAGAGTAATGAATTCTGTTTCAATATCTGATTAGCAAGTAATTGTTTTAAATTAAATTATCAGTGTTCTAATATTTCATGGACGTAAAATTTGATTCCCATGGCTGATTTCTTTTTCATTTAATATTTATTCGTTCTTTTTTTTTTGTTTTTTTTTTTTTAAATCTATTTATTTATTTATTTATTATATTTTGTTTAAGAAAAAAATAGCGAAAGAATGATACATAATTTGTCTATAGTATTTATATGCTATTACAAATTTTCTGTAGAAATTGCTGTTGAACAACAATCGATAAATTGCTAGTGAGTAACAATTTATATCTAAACAGTTTTGGCAAAGAAAAAAAATCGCATTTCAATTTGCATTTTTGATATCGGGAATTTTATTTTATTATTGCCTACTTATATTTCTAAAAACATTTTATGTGAAAATAAATTGTATCTACTTATAAATTGTATCTACAACCAAAGTTATTGTTTAAAAAAAATTAAAAAAATTTTTAAAATTTGTTGAATAATAAGCATTTTTAATTATATGAAATTGAAAAAGTGTTTTAATTAATGTATCCTTGCACTTATTTATTCGTCCCAGCCTTGTACAAATACTTTTTTACAAAACTTGGTACATATGCTATGTTATACCAACGGTACATGAAATATAGATCTTAGTATTACAAATTAAAAAGTTTGTTTTTTAACGTACGTCTGTTATACCCTTAAGAGTTGAGAAAATAAATATTGCTTTGAATAATTTGCTTAAAAAATTAAATTTTTTAATTATGGTTAAGCAAAAACTTTAATTTGTACAATACTTACCCGGATTATAACTTAATTCTGCAATAGTTCCAGTTGGGGGGGGGGAGGNGTTGGGGGGGGGGGGGAATCAGCAGTATTGGTGCGAAGATGCGATTTTTTCAACTCTATGTCATTAAATAGTGTTCAAAAAATGTTTCTATGTTGACCGTTTTTGAGGAAACTATTTTTCAAAGTTTTTTAACTTGCAACAAATTATAAAAATTAAAATGGAGTCGAAAAAAATGTTCCAACAACATGAATTTGAAATGTGTAACACGCATTTTTAAAAATTCTCAAACCTGTAGTTTCAGTGCTCAATAGTTAATTACAGTCTCAAATTTATTTTGATGAAAGTCAGCATTCTCGGTATTAAGCTCACGTTTTACTTTTAGGAAAGTTGCAAGAAGCCACTGTGTCACGAAAAAGTTATTTTAAATGTCTTCAAATTTTGTTATTGCAATCTGTAAGCTGAAAGCTAAGCAATTGTTTTCAGCGGTATGCTGAAGGTTAAAACGCATTAAATCATTAAAGGCTTTTAATGTAGGTGGCATACCAAGTAGTAGGTACAATAAAAATAAATTATAGTTCAAAAATTAATGGTAAGGGAGATTACGATTGAAAGTTAGTCATTTTAAACTGTTGTAGCAGCATGGTTTCAGGAGAGGCATTTCAATTGTTTAATTAATTATAATTAATTTCCTACCGTTTATGTCTAGTTTCCTACCTGTTAAAGAAGTTCAATGTTTTATTCCTCAACCATGAATGCAATTGTAAAGATAAACATCAGTATATATTACATTCAATGATGAAAACTAGTAAACTGATATTTCTTCGCGACGCTACTTTGTGGTTAATTTATTTATAGTAAAAAAAAATTCTTCTTTATCTTAAAGAAATCTTAAAGGATAACAAGCAAAAATAAGCAAGGAAAACTGAATGAATAAAGACAATTTTCGAATATTGCGTCATACTAATTCTAAATAAAGTTATTGCTGATAGTTTTTTTTATTGTCTGCTCATAAAAAAGACCTGTATAATATTTTTCCCTTCAAAAAAGTAAACTAAATGCAGAACGAAATTACCTAAGATGATAAAGGATAAAGAATAATTTCACGTAAATATCTTTTATAAAGAACATTCTATTGCCATCACGACTCTGATTCTCGAAAAGATGATTTCGCGGACCGGTTTTAATAAAGGAAGTATTTATGATTATTTCAAAGAAGAACTGAAACAAAATGTTGTGCAAAAGCATAAATAATATAATTTAAAATTGATGAAAAACCAGATTTATGATTAATTTCGCAAATTGGTCTCCAATTGTAAAATCAAAAAAGTTTATTTCATGGTTGAAGTGTTGTAGTTAATCGTTTGTTGTATTACATCAAAATTTTCTGTTAATTTTCTGTATTCCACTTTACTTTCTTTTTTTTTAAACATTTAATTCTTTAATTAACAGTGCACCGAAACTTATTTCTTATTTTGCAATTGATTGTTTGAATATGTATAGCTTTTTATAATTTACACTAATAAGTAATAATCATTTATTGCGTGTAGAAAAAAAGACGACTGAAGAGTCAGTCAAAGTATGCTGCCCAAGGCTGCGAACCATTACATTACATAGCATTTTTTACATTGCATTGCATTTTTTTAAGAAACTTCATGGCATTTTTTAAGGAAAAAAAAAACATTTTTTGTTTGAAAATAAATAGTTATATAGTGCATTCCAGATTACACTACCTCTGCGATTAAATAATGAAGAATTACATTGCATATTTTACAGAAGAAATTGATCGAATCAATTACCAATTAGCTCGAACATTCTAACTTTGTTCCACTCTTTAAAATCTCGAATTTTTGAACTTGAAAGAAACAATAGAACTGGTGTGCTATTCGAATTCTTGAACTTGATTGAAACAATAGTAAGTGGCGTATTCGGTGGCATGCAGAGGGAGAAGGCAAGGTAGCAACAGGACTAAGGATATTAAAATTTTAAAATATCCTTTTTCTTATTAAATGAATTTTTTTTCAACACGTAAATATTTGATTCAAGGGAAATATTTTATGAAGAATGTCACATAATTTTCAAGCAAATTTAATAATGATGTTTCAGAGGGCTAAAATGTTAAGGAGAAAGATCACTATATTTCATTACTCTTTATTTGTAGGGGGAAAAAATCGTAAGGAACAATATTTCTTTTTACCATAGAATAATTTTTTCTTTTATTTACATTAATAAATTTAAAGTATGGGTTTAGATTTTTAAAAATATACATTATTCCATTTCTTTCAAAAACATTTAAAAAATTAAAATTTTTGGTCTTTTTTCCCTTTTTTTATTTTTATTTTATTTGCCCTGTCTAGTGATTTCACACATTCTCCAATTGCATTCAATGGAGGTTATGACGTCATTGTAAAGATTTGATTTCATTGGATAAAACTCACATTTCTTTTAATTAACTGGGTTGTTAAATTTAAACCAATGGGATACGAAACGGAAACCATCGTTAGTGTCTAGTTTTCTTCCGAAAACTGATTTAAATATTAGTAAGGGGAAACAGGAAGACCGATGAGCATTAAACAAACAACCCAATATCTCTTTTGAGTGAACATAAATTTCGCAACTCTTTTACAGATGCGAATGAACTCAGACATCAACTGCAACTATTGAACGTGAAGTGAATTTTAATGATGAGACTTAAAATATAGAAATACATTTTATTTAAAAAAAAGAAAAAAAGCACCTTCATTTTCTTGATCTTGCCAAACTTTTTAAATAAATCGTGACAACCGATAAACGAATTCGTCAAAGAAAGCTGAAAGCGCCAATTTTTTTTCTTTTTTATTATTATTATTTATGTTTATTATTAAAAACATGCTAAAGTAGTTTCTCGGTTTAAGAATTCAGTTGGAACTTTATCAAGTATTTTGTTAAAATAAAAAAAAATAATCACAATATATCTAGTTTAAAAAACATTAAACAAATAAATTATAAGTATAATATTTTTTGTTAGAAAAGAGGAGGTTCATGTTATAAAATGTAAACGAAATCTATTAAAAAAATAAAAATAAAAAGCTAGGGAGAAAAAAATTCAGAAAATATAAGTTTGCTTTAGATTGAAGCAAACTTATTATTTATCTTGTAAGCAGAAGCATAATATTTTTTTTAGTAGAATCATCAAAAATAACACTCGTTTCAAAGGAAACAATCGATAAAATAATCCCTCAATTACAGCTGAAAACTCCTTAGATTTTTCTAACATGTTTTCCATATAAAATGTGTAAAAAAATTTATCTCCTTTATGAATTAAGTTCCTGAAATCTATTTCATGAATTCGATCAGAATTTGTTTGTATGATTTTGAGTATAATGAATGATGATAAAAATGAATAATAAGAATGATATATTTTTCTGATGGTTACAGGATAAGGCTCATAAATTAAAATGAAATCTAGAACAAAATACTAGTAAAAGAACCAAAAATCTTAGTTCGCTTTAAATTTATTTTCCTGTGAGCAAAAGCCTAACACAGAGACATAAAAATAGGACTTCAAATATAAATTAATACTTTTCACTAAAAAAAAAAATAATAGAACTACAGAGACATTAAAAATGATACTTTTTTAGAAGCTAATTAATAACATCTCACAATGCATTTCATAATAATTTATATTATTTATAATTTAACAAACATACGAAACTTAACGAAAAAAAATTTTTTTTAATTATATTTTACTTGTTCTTTGCATGATGGTGTTTGTGCAATTACATGATGGTGTTTGTACAAGCATACAGAAGTACGTTTTTATGACTAATCAGAAGGGCAAAAGCTTTAAAATAAATAAATAACTTTCCTAGAACTATTTTGTTGAGATGGGTAATAATATTTTA